AAATGAAAAAAAAAACAAAGCACTGTTCAACTAAAGAAAGCTATTGCCCGCAAATAGAATGAACAACAAATATAATATATATATCTATATATAACCGTACAATACAAAAGAAATTATAACACTTTACAAATAATGACGATCCTTGATTGTCAAAAATAAACGAATATCAAACAAGGATGACATATATTTGAGCGATACATATGAAAAGAAAACTAGAATGGACATATATATGTATGTGTAACTGTCTTGACAGTTACAAAAGAACTAGCTCGTTTACACATCACAGTTGATCAAAAAAAAAAAAACAAATAAAAATAAACTATACAATAGTAATAATAATAATAATAATCATAATCATAATACATTCAATAAGGATAAGTAGTATTGTGATGATGATGATGATGTTGATGATTGAAAGAAGATGGTGTCATTGTTGATGTATTATTTGGTGTGCCTTGAAATGAAACATTCATATATGAATGTACAGATAATGATGGATTATTCACGGGTATATATGATGACGGTGATGATGATGGTATTAAAAATTCATCATATACAGGAGTTTTAACTCTTGTATGTAAATCATGAAATGATTGTGAATTTTGTCCAGTTTCATATGGTAATGATTGTGGTCGATATATAGGAGAAGAATTCGATTGAGGTTGATAACCTGATGAATAAAATGTTGGTGATGATGAAATATTTGTTTGACTATTATTATCCATTTGTATATATCCCATGGATTTTGGAGATGATGAAGTAAATAAACTATTAAGTAAATCTTTTTGTTCAATATTATTAATAGTTACAGTTGTTGCTATTTGTTGAGTTTGTCGTCTTAATTCAAGTGTACGTGCTAAATGTTTATTTTTAATATTTTCTAATTGAGCTAATTTATTAAGTATATTATTCTAAAATTAATAGAAAAATATTACTTATAATTTTTTTTTTTTCTTAAATATTTTTACTCGTTTCATCACATCATTTGCTTGTCCACCATTAGCTATTTCTTGTTTTCGTGCTATATCTAATTGAGCTTCTAATTTTTCTTTTGCTAGAATAACAAAAAAAAAAATAATTTGATTAATAAATAATTTAGAGAATTTCTTTAAAATTTTTCTTTCTGAAATTAACATTATTGTTCATTAATTTGAAATGTTGCAAAAAAAAGATGATCAAGATTAAGTAGTAAAAGATGTTGAACAAATATTCTTTTTTTTTGTCTAAACAAGTTCAGATAAACTATTGAAATAATTCACTGTTAAACAAATTGAAAGTTGTCTAATAGAATCTACCGACTAGAAAGCTGCGGATTCTTTCAGACTCGAATCCTAATCTACAAAAGCGTAGAAATTCTTATCTTCGAATTTTTCAATACAATATTGTTGTCTTCTGAGGTATATTCAACATAAATCTACAGCGTGCAATATTAAAATCTAACAGCTAACTACATTATAACGTATATTTGTTATTCTGATTCGTTAGTGTGTATGAAAAGTTCACGAAATTGAGCGCAAGAACTTTATGTTAGACTAGCCTTTTTCCTTCTTCATATGCTTGGATTAATTAATTTTCGATTTGAAATTGAACATTAATTCATTGTAAAACTATCAAATTTTCTAGTATTAAATATAAAAACAAAGTTTATTATTTCATATAATAGAATTTTTATGTATGATACTAGTAAATCAGATACTTTTTACAATGGATTACTGTTATTATATTTTTAATTATGTAAAAAAGTAACTATTAGATTTTTACTCTAGAATAAAATATCATGTTAATAACTAGTGCTATATATATATATTGAATTCTTGATAATGATGTTTTTGAAGTTGAAATTAGAATTTTGTAAACCTTATAAGTTTTACTAAAAAAGAAATTTTTTAGATATATTTTAGTCTTAAACTAGGTTAACAACTAAATTATAAATTATCTTTAAACTGATTGATCCCTTTAATGAAGTTTTTCCTACGTAGAAAAATAAAAAAGAAAGAAAATAATTACTTCGTTAATCCTAAGATAATATTCATAAATCTCTTTAATTCAATCCTTCTCATGATCTGAAAATTATAATTACTCATAATGAATTATTTATTTTTCATACCTGATGTATATTTCTTAATAAAATCTATATGTTGTTGTTGAATTGTTTCAGGATTTAATGGTATTTGATTTGACTATATATTTATAAAAATAAACAACAATTAATTAAAAGAATAATCTAAAATCTTATTGAATAACCTTTGTTGAATTCATTTGAGATGACTGTTGAGTTACCGGTATTTTTGTATTATCATTTTGTACAGTATTACCATTTAAAATTCTATCTCCTGTTGATGATGAATCAACTGTACATAAAAGAAAAAACAAAAATAATATTTTTTCTTTATTTAAAATAAATTCAAACCAGATTGTTTTTCATAATTATATTTCATTGAATTGTTAAGTATACCACGTACAATTGAATCAGAATTATCTTTTTTACCTAAAGATGAATTTGTTAATGATGAAAATTCTGATGATAATTTTTCATCCATCATTGTATCTATAATTAAAAAAAAAAAAATAAATAAATTAAATTTTAATAATTATTTAACCTGAAATATCTATATCATTTATTATTTGATTATCATTATTATTTGAACGTTTATAACGTAATACTAATGATGGTAAATTATTAATTATATTTGCTAATTCACTATCAAGATATTTATCATTATCAATTAATATTGATATATAATCTTGAATAGTTAATGGATGTGCTAATTTTGATACATCAAATATATTTCCTATAATTTTTAATGATTGTAATTTATTCGTTGAAAAACACATATTTAATGATGGAACACATATACGACAATGACCAGTTGAAAGTGAAGAAGAAGAAGAAGAATCCATATCGGATGATGAAACTAAAATAAAAATAAACTCTTCAAGTAATTCATA